CTTTACTCAGAACTGAAATAAGCACAAGTAATCTTACAGGATAAACCAATAAATAAGTAAATAAACAAAACTAACCTTACTATTTAAGATACTGTGCTGGTTTTGGCTAGAGCAGAGTTTGTTTTCTTCATAGTATGTAGTATGAGGCTATGTTTTAGATTTGTGCTGGAAACGGTATTGGTAACTGTTATCAACAGATGGGATGTTTAGCTACTGCTGAGCAGATGCTTACACAAAGTCAAGGCCTTTTCCACTCCTCATCCCAAACCACCAGCGAGCAGGCTGGGGATGCACAGGAAGTTGGGAGGGGACTCAGCCAGGCCAGCTGACCCCAGCAGACCCATGGACTATCCCATACAATGTCACGCTCAGCAATAAAAGCAGGGGAAGAAGAAGAAAGGTGGGACACTGGAGTGATGGTGTTTGTTTTCCCACGTCACCATTACACGAGATGGAGCCCTGCTGTCCTGGAGATGTCTGAACACCTGCCTGCTGATAGGAGGTGGTGAATGAATCCCTTATTTTGTTTTGCTTGTGTGCACAGCTTTTGCTTTACCTGTTAAGCTGTCTTCATCTCAACCCACGAGTTTTCGCACTTTTACCCTTGCGATTCTTTTTCCCACCCCACTGGAGTGGGTGCAAGTGGCTCTGTGGGACTTTGTTGCCAGCTGGGGTTAAAACACAACAAATGTTTACGCTATTGCTACTAAAAGGTTAATTAAATGTGTGAAGTTACTGCATGAAGCCTGAAAAAATAGAAGCTAAGTGCTCATTATGCCGATGACTCAGAAAATAAGTATCTCATTAGTACCTCCAGAAAGGAGGTCTTCCTGCTGCTCCAGACACATTTCCAATAGTTTTGAATACCTGCTTCCCCCAGTGCCCTCCTTCAAGCCTTGGTTCTGTGCTTTATCAGGCAGACTGCACAAGCAGGTCACCTCTTCCTCTTGCACATGGAAACAAACAGTGGCCACTGGTCCTCCAGGCTGTTTTTCATAACCTTTTCAATTTTAGCGTTGCCACTATGACTTCACCTTACTGCTGCTGTAAGACTGCCCCGACATACAGGTCCCAGAGAGGCCTCACAAACAAACAAAAAACATGGCAAAATACATGTCATCACAAGAATTAGTTAAACATCCCTCGGGTCCTAGCCCTTTCCTGTGTCCGTCACCACTTCAGCTAATTTGCAGTAATGAATTCTCTCAGATGCGGAGGACAACACACTGAATCATGACCTTTGAGTTGCAAACCTAGCCTTGAGCAACTTGGTGACCTACATGGCGGCTGCACAGCTCAATAACTAGTTGGCTGGAGTCTGCAAATGCAAATCCCCACAACACCCCATATGCTGTCACTACACTGTCTGTTATAAAACTTTATTTCCAAAAGCAGGCTTTATTAGCCTGTTGGCTTGCTGAAACACTGCTTTGAAAGAACTTTAATAGCAAAAACAAAAGCATATTTTATTTTACTTCCTGAACACTATGAAATGTGCATCAGGAGACAGAAACAAACAACCCCCCCCTCCAAAACACACACACACACACACACACACACATATATGTAGCACCTAAGTAGATCTGCTCCTGCCTTCTTTTCCTAAACTACATACCAGTGTTTTAGCTGAGTAACACACACTTCTAGCTGCACATTTTGCAGGGCCAAAGACATACAGTGCACCCATAAAGATTTTAATTAGCTGACATCTCTGCCCTGAAGTGGTACTGAGGCCCTCTGATACCAGTCTACATGTGCAAGCCAACTGCTGGAAAGATATACTTGAAAAAGTAAGGTTTGGCAAAACTCAGTATGCTAAAATGCAGCAAATCATCAGCTACACGTATCACCATCCAGACTAGCTGTGTATCTCCCCTCCTTTCCCCCTGAAAATACATAGCTAGAATTTCAGTCATCACTGGTTTTTACTGCATCCCATGTCCTTAAAAGACTCTGTTGGGCATTTCTCAGTGTTGTAGAATTAGGCTTTCTTATCTTCTTAATGACCAAAACACAGCTGTCCAACATGTTCCAGCTGGCACAACCCTGCCATCTCTGCTGCTAACCCAGCAGCACATCATCTGGACTATTTGTCCTGCTGCATATGCAGCAATATGCATATACACAACTCACAACTTCTATTTTTTTCCATTCAAAAATGAAATTAGCAAGTTTTGTCCACATTGTGAAGTTCAAATAGAAATCTGATTGAGAGGCTATAGACAAGAAGTTGAGTGAATTGAGATTTGTTAGTCTAGTGTCTTCACAGCTATGCACATACAAGAGGATAAATCAATTATACAGCTAAATTATATCTCTTCTATAGATACAGCAATAGGTAAGGGTTAGCTAGAGACAGAATTTATCAGTTCAAAGCATGTGGCATAGGAAGGACTGAAAGGTAAGTCAAAGCTATGAAATGCCATCATTAATTGCATGTTTCTGCTGAAGTGACCAAGAGCAAAGTAAGTCCTCATCCTAGGATCTGCATTTACATGTTCAGAATTTCAGTACCTAAAAGGGGAAAAAAGAAAACAACAAAACACACAAACAAAAAAACATACCAGGAGCCATTCACACCTTTTAAATATTTCTGGTCAGTGTGGAGACTCAGGAAAACGATTCTAGATGAGTTTATAACAGAATTCAGTTTTCAAGATTACCCTTAGAACTACAATAGTGAAAAAAAAATCAGCTGTAGCCTAAAACACTTTTCCCCTGTATATATGTGGGATGAGCCACCAGGACACAGTAAGATTCAACTCACCTTGCACAATGTAACACCTAAAGTAATGACTATATCTTTCTACCCTGCGGGCATTAAAGGGCGTATTCTTAGCACAGGTAAATCTGTTGAGCACTATAAACCTACAGAACTGTAATGACACCAGCTCAGATTCTGACTTTAAAATCATCATTGTTTAAAGACACTAATCTTTGAAGATGCCAAACTGCATTGGGCTCAGAGAAAATACCCAAGGACCATTATGCTTCCTACCCATATGCTACAATCTCTTAACCACGCTATTCATTAACAAGAGCACTACAAAGACACCGGTACAAGTTTCAGTAATTTCCTGTTACTTCCAGGCTGCATAATATTTGAGTGAAAACTAGTACACAGGTACAGATCGGGAGAGAAGTGTCTGTAGAGCTGCCTTGCAGAAATAGACCTGAGGGTGCTGGCTGACAGCAAGGCGCAGTGTGAGTCAGCCATGTGCCCTGGCAGCCAGGAGGGCAAACTGCATCCTGGGGTGCATCAAACACAGCATCACCAGCTGGTCGAAAGAGGTGATTATCTGCTGTGTTTAGTCATGGTGCAGCCTCACCTCGAGCACCGTGCACAGTCCTGGGCCACACAGTTTAAGAAGGATGCAAAGGTCCTTGATTGCATTCAAAGGAGGACAACAACGCTGGTGACAGGACTGGAAGCCATGTCCTGTGAGGAGGGCTCTTGAGTTTGTCTAGGCTGGAGAGAAGGCTGAGTGGTGACCTCATGGCTCTCTGCAGCTTCCTAATGTGGGTACATGGAGAGAGAGCTCCTGGTCTCTTTTCCCTGGGATCCAGTGACAGGATGTGAGGCAGTGGCTCAAAGCTGCATGAAGGGAGGTTCAGATGGGACATTAGGAAGCATTTCTTTACTAAGAGGGTGGTCAAACACTGAAACAGGCTTTCTAGAGAGGCAGCTGATGCCCCAGTCCTCTAGGTAACTTAAAAAGAGGCATTTGGACAATGCCCTTCATAATATTCTTAAACTTTTGATCAGCACTTAACTAGTCAGGCAGTTGGACTAGGTTACAATTTGTAGGTCCCTTACAATTATTCTAGTCTAGTCTACTCTAGTCTAGTCTGTTTTCTTTTGGTCCAAGAAAAAAATGTTGCTTGCATCTCATGGCACTTGATTTTTTTTAGCCACAGTAGGTTTCTGCATAAGACCGCCAACTTGATCTAAAGCTGTGGATATTTTATACCACCAGAGAGACAGAAAGACCTACTATGCGTAATAAACAACATCCTGAAAAGCTATTCACATCTTCTGATCTGGATGCAAAGTTCATCTCAGTGATTTTATGAATGCCATGGAAATTTACAACAGTGTAACTTGGTTTCTAACACTCGCAGTTTAAGAATCTGTAAGACTTCCATAACGCATCAGTTTGGATCTTGTTAGGACACCTGAAATACTTCTGCTTTCACGCACTACAAACACTGCTGCTACACCAGAAATCCATACTCCTTACTCTTCGCCCTCTTATCGTTATTACTTAAAGGAATAAAAAGGAACTAAGTAATTAGGAAGAGGGACTACAGCAAGTTGGACTTTCTTTCCAACAGCACAACTACTATCACTGAAATCCTTCCTTAAGTTATCTTTTGCCTTGAACGAAGAGGAAAGGGCAGCAGCACTTCAACTCTGCCTACCACCTCGGTAACAGCGTTTCCTCTATCTGCACGCCGCGGGCCTTGCTCCCGGTGCAGGGCTTTCCCGGCCCCGCAGACCAGGTTCCCTCGCACACCACCTCCGCCGCAAGATGCGCCCACCGCGCACTCCGTTACCGCGCTGCGGGACGGGGCCGGCGACACCGAGGTCTCCCTCCTCGCCGAGGACCGCCTCTCCCGGAGGTCGCCGAAGCCCAGCGGGCTCTCATGCCCGCAGGGATGCCGTGCCGGGGGTGCGGCGCACGGCGGACCCCACGGCTCCAGCAGCGGCCGGACGGGCTCCATGCCGTGCCGTTCAATGCCGTGGCGCAGCGCCGCGGCGGGAAGCGGCGAGAAAGGCGCAGCTGCCCGTGCCGCAGGTGCGCGGAGCCCCGCGCAGGGAAACGGGGCGTGAGAAATGCTCCCGCCGCGGCCGCGCCGAGCCCCTGCCCGGGCCCTGCGACCTGCTCTGCGCCGGAGGGCAGCCGCCCGAGTCCCGGCCCGGCTCTGCGCTCCCGTGCTGGGGTGCCGCTGCCCGCCGAGATGCCCCGCCGCCGCCGCCCCTCTCTCCCCGCCGGCACCTGGATGTGGCAGGAAATCTCGGAGTCGTCCAGCAGCCGCACGGTGCATTTCATCTCCGAGCTCAGCGACCTGATGCTGGAGCTCCGGAACCGGATCATCCCGGCAGCCCGCCCGCCGCCGCCCCTCAGGCAGCCGCAGGGGGCCAGCCTGCAGCGGCTCCTGGCCGACCGCGGCACGGCGCGGCACGGCACAGAACGGCACGGCACAGCGGCGGCGCCGCCCCTCAGCCCCGTGGCGCCCAGCCACCGCCCGCCATCCTCCCGCCCGCTGCGGCCGGGGCCGTCGCTGCGTCAGGCTGCGCTCCGCTGGCCGGCCTCAGCATTCTCCCGCGCCCGCCCCCGGCACGGCACCTCTCCGCCCTCACCTGCTCCCCCCCTCGCTGCGGGGCTCCGCGCCGTCGGGCTGCAGGAAAAAGGCAGCCCCGAGGGACAATGGTCAATGCGTCTGTTTGCCTTCTCCGCCACAGGCGAGCCGCGCCTGGCTGTGCGCGCACCTCAGGCAGTGGTACCCCCGTGGTCCCCGGGTACCCCAACACTGCCCTTCGCAGGAGGAGGGCCGTTTGAAGTATACATTTATATATAGACCTTTTGTTCTATATATTACAGAAGTTAGTACAGGAGGTGGGTACGCTGTAAGGAAACAGAAGAAAACAATGCAACTTCATGTAAGAGTGCAAGTCTTGGAAACTTGTTTCCTCAGGGGAAAACGGTCCATTAAGGAGGAGCAGTCTCACCCTGTTTGTTGTGTAAACCTTGAAACAGGGATTAGCACTGTGTTGGAAAAGAAGCTCTTCCTTTTTAAATCTGAAATGAAACACAGCCAGTGCACAATGGGATGTGGCTAAAAGTCTACAAAGAGAAAAATAGTGTTGGCAGCCACACACAAGGTGTATTTCAGTCATTTCACCTCGCTGTCCATGGTCACCTGTATGCGTCCATATTTTGAAAGTAGTTTTGTGTGAATGTAATGTTCTTTGAAAATCCAGTGGAAAAGCCTAAACACCGCTACTCCTGTAATCTCTTCCTTGGGCTTCCTGCTGGACTGCTAACAGCAGGAAATACCGACAACCACAAACAAATGAGAAGCATATAATGCTCACTAGCGTCAGCTAATAAATATGCAAAGTTCTTTAATATGCAACATGAAAGAAAGAATGTAAGTATATGCTTCTTGTAAATGATAAATGCTTCCAATTGCGTAATGAAGAGTGAAGCAAACCGGTGAGTACTTAAAACAGATTGTTCACCTCAATAGCCATAGTCAACCTCAAAGTTTAGAAGAAGGCCTCTATCAGCCACGACACCTGCTGTAGACAGAAATCACTTATAACATTCTTTGTCCTACAGTCCTTCAGCAAGGGAACTCAGTAGGGGCAGGATTTCAGCCCACATGTAGATTGACTCTCCCACAACACAGGTTTTCCTGCTTACAGTACAGAATGAATCTTTTCTTTCTAAGCCGAATATTTCACCTTTCCCTTCAGTCTCTGCAGCACACCTTTCACCATTCAAAAGGGGAACTAGAAGAGGGAGCTGAGCTTTAGGGACCAGGTCAAAGCCTGCCACTGTCAGAGTGGGGTTTCGTTTGACTGTTAGAATGGTGAATAGAGGAATGAGCTGCCCAGGATTTCTCGGAATTACAGACACAGTGATGACTGCAGCATGAAATTCACATCTCCAAACTGGCAGTTGCAGAGCAAGTGTGAGCTGGTGCGTACCGGCAGCAACATAGCAGCAGGAGCACAGAGCACAGCAGAATTTTACTTGCCTGCTTTAAAGACAGGTCACTCATGTGTTACTGATACTTTGCTTCTGTGATACACCACACCATTTTGACTTGAGGTGCCTGAGAGCTCTGTGAGACAAGTGATAGATTCCTATGTTTCACACCACAGAAATACTAGCACAGAATACAGCAGCTGTCTAGAGGGATGTCGCCAAATCCATGAGCGATCAAAAATTAATATTCTGCCCCACAGGAGAAAAAGAAAAAAAACCAAACAAACAGGCAGTGAAAGCAAATGCTGTGCCCAGTTGGAACTGCAGAATGTAAATCCTTCAGATGGATTTTCCACCAGATATTAGACTGCCATCCCTTTCTGAGTCAAAAATCATTGTAGGTGGTTTTTTTTCTTTACCCTACAAATAAGAGGCTCATGAATGTCTCAAATCATTACAAATTATATCAAAAAAGTCACAAACATATTTCAACTGCCATGCTTGACTGAGTGCACCCCTTTTTGCCGTATCTTGGAGGCCAAACAGTCCTTATGCAGGTAGTGTTTAAAAATATCACCTGAAAAGTCAGGAACTGGCATTAAATAGTATGGCAAATATAGAAAACACAAAGCAATACACAGATAAATTCAATTCAGTTGCCAGTAAATGCTGAGCCAATGGAGTATAAAATATAATGATTAAAAAATCCATTGCTTGTACACCTGTCCACTTCTGACTCACTGGAAGGTTGTTGGCTACAGCTGTTGCTGTCAAGACCACAGCATGTTGTAGAGCTCTATTCAACCACTCACCTGCTTCATACTGCAGAGTTTGGGAGATCTCAAGATCAGGTAATTACGGCTGCAATAACAAATGCTGGTGGTCAGGCACATGTTTGAAATGCACTTGAGGTTCATCACTCTGAGGACGGTCACCAGCCAGTGCAATAGCTGTATTCCCACTCTGTTTTTCTAACTGATTTCTTTGGGCTGAGTATATCCGGATGGAGTAAGGGCCAGTAGCCTGTACTTTTTATTTACCCAGGAATTGCCATCAGATATGAAGTTAGATTCAGGAATAGCAGGGAGAAATAATGAGCTTGAGTACTGCTTTGATTTCTGGAAGCCAAATTACAGAATGAAACCAAATTACAGAATATAAGTCAAGGGTTTTTCCTTCAGTGACTAATCATCGCAGCAACTTTAGTTCGAGTTAATGTTTATAATTTAAACAGGTACACACAACATATTTCCAAACACTCAAAAGATTAATCCATAAATACAGCTGCTGCAGCTGTAAACACACCTGCCTTGGGTCAGATTTTGGGCTCCAGCATGAGTAGAGCAGATACACAATTCACTGTCCTCACAGGGCTGCCCCCCACAACTCACTAATCTCCTTTCTGTAGGCCCATACCTACCCACCTCCTTTGGCCCCTTGGATTCTCATAGCCAGGACATACGGCATGTACAGCAATTAGCTGTGGCTCAGAGATCACAGTGCCATAAGGAAACAACAGTAACTGTATTAATATTAATGAAGCACAGAACAGTTCAGATTTGACTCAGTTCCCTTCTGCAACAGCATTAGGATCTCCAAATCTAAAATATTTCAGCTGCAGGATGGACATTAGGCTCCTCCAGAACATATCCTAGAGAGTGAAGAATGGGGGTTGAGCTAGCAATGAACTGGTATTTCAAGGAAAGGTTTACTATAGTCAGTGAAATGCGAGTTTTGCTCTGAAAGTCACAAGCTCCACGGGAAAGCTAACCTCCTAAGTGTCCTAAAGACCCCCCTACACAGAAGGTTTAGATGACTTCTGAAGGATCCAGTACACGAGGCAAACAACTTTTTCATACCAAAGCCCAATTTTTTGTGCATTTGTGTTATTTGTTATCTTCAATGGAATTGCCTTTAAGACATGCACTGTATTTGTGTCAAATATATCCAGAAGCCAAGCTAAAATTAGCAATGAGCTAGTTGAATAGAGCTAATCATTCTGGGCAGCACGCAAAATATGAAAACAAACAAGCTCTTCAGATGTTATATACACACAGAGATACCACACCTACAGAATTCTTTTGTTTCAATCTTAAGTAAGCATTTGAAGGCAGAAAAATCGTTATAACTTTATAGCAAAAAACAATTATAAAGAAAAAGGGGGGAGTTGTGTCTTGAAATAAAAGGTTTCTCACACCTTGGTATTACACCCATAATTTCAAAACTGTATATAAAACATTAACACATATTTCCATAATGCTTCTCACTGTACTTACAAGCCCTAAGAGTATTTAAAGATACATAAATTACAAAGACAAAATATTTAAAGAGAAAAAGTGACACCGATTGCAATGAGGGCAGAGTTGAGTCAGAAGCTGAAACTTTAATTCACGTAGGGTTTATACTTTCTTTTGCACTACAAAAACATCACAAAACATCACACATTCATTACATGGATGAGAAGGCAACAAGATCTGTAACATACTACATTATTTGATAGCAGTACCAAAGTACTTGTGATTTTTACGTTTGTACTTCAAAAGAAATTTCTATTGTAAGCCAAATATGCTCTCACTCCAAACCCACTAAAAAAGGCAGAACTTTGGCCACAATTACCCTAGGAACAAGACCTAAAGACCTATTGAAATCCATAGGGATGTATCACATGTTGCATGGCGCTGGTCCTGCTGGCATCCAAATTCCTTATGTGTAGTTGCAATGGCAGACACAACCATGGCTCACAGCAGGCGTAGGGGTGAGTCAGAAGCATTTTCTTCCACTGCTGAAGTTTATCGATTTCAGCAAAGATTCACAAGTATGGGAAGGACATCACAATACTCCCTTCTACCACAGAATGATGGGTTGAATTTACTGTACAAACTTGTAAGCAAACCTCCTGCAGATGTCACCTGGAAGCTCGAATATCCATCAGCATTTGTGATTTAAACTGTAATGCACAATACTGCACTTGAAAGCTGCTTGCTGGAGCAAATTTTACACTGATTTTAATTCACACAAGGCAATTACCATGAACGGAAATGTCAGCTCCCAGCCTTTGGTTCAGAGCGCACAAAGTCGGCGAGATGTTTATCATGGTTCACTGTGTCCTGGGAATTGCCAAGTTGTTTTTACCAGTAGGGATTGAAACATTGCTTTGGTACAGTGTTGTCTTTTCAGGGAACATTTAGGCAGTCCTGTTTTTCTAATACTGTTGCCAGTAAAATTACAGCAGGCTGTGTAGGATCTGGGCTGCCTCTCTGACGCATCTCTCTCCCCTGAGGACCATGTTTGCTCTCAAATATTTCTCTCACTACTGGTTCTCTCCAATTGCTTTCACATAACCCATGCAGCAAGCTTCTGGGCTTGTTAACACCCCAAAGAAACCCTGCAGCTCACACCACTAACAGGTTTTACATGTGACACAACTGATGGTTTCAGATGTCTACAGTTAATTCAGTACCCACAGGAAGCTGTCTCTCACTGACTGCAGGGTGGCTGCCATATCTCTGTATCTCCCCAGTCTATGATGAATTGAAAAAGTATT